GCAAGCTCCTGAGAGCTCACTAGAAGCATACATGGCACAAAATGTGAAAACTGTGTGATATACACACACACAAAATGTATTTTTTTACCACACAGGCACAAATGTTAACACAAAGGAAATTGATTTTTTTAACCTCACTTGGTCCCAGGACAACCTGGAATTCAAACATGGTTCTTTTTATGCAGCCACAATGAGTTAGTTTTTAAAAACTAAGCTGAGCTGCCCAACCAAAACCCAATATGGACTGATGGATTTTACAGTTCAGTTATTAGTCAATGCTGTTTCTCAGTTTTCATCACTTACCAGTAACTCCCCAAGTTCCTAACCTGCTATAGTCTATGATAAATACACTGAGACACATCAGTCATATTTATACTGGCAGGTGAATGCCCACAGAGATGCTTTGTTCCAGATCTACCTTACAGCCATCGTTGAGACCCTCAGTGGAGCTGAAAAACCTCAAACTGGGACCATTCGCATGTGAGGTGTGTGTGTGTTTTAATCAAATTCATAGAATGAAATCCAAAGTTTGTCCTGCAGCACTGCGGAGGCAATGTAACTTGCAGATGCACCAAAAGCAAGCATGGATCTTTAAACATCTGGGACTGTTAAACAGCTTTACAGGATGCCACTGAACTACTGACAGGCAACTTTAAAGGCAGATGCTGGTGGAGAAGGGTATCCTCCTTTACTGAACTCTCAGGACAGAAGCACACGCATTGGTGAGAGGGAAGGGAATGGAAGGAAGGATGGATTTGCATTGTGTGCATGTTATCTCAGACCACAGCCAGGGACTACTGTACAGCCGAGTCTCCACTCAGTCAATGAGCAATAAGGATGGATGGCAAACTCAAAACCAGAGCTGGGCAGATGTCACGTGGGGGTCCTTAAGGAATGGTGCTTTTGACTGTCTGAAAAGGTAGTCTGAAAGGCAGGCTAATATCAGTATGGAAGGCAGACAGCTGCTGTAGATTCTGCGCATGACACCTCTCAGGAGCAAGCAGCTAATCTAACTCAACCAGCTCTAGAATCAGGGGGTACTGAACTGTCCTAACTCGACAGACAATGAATACAGGCCTCCTGCCTCCGTTTCCTTGTAAATCCCACCTTACAGCAATTACTTCCCATGCTCCACATCAAGGAGAGCCACTTCTAGCAGCCAAGTGCACTCTCCTTGGATTCCAGCCTGCTGCAAAGAGGAATTTGTTTAATTAGAAAATGAAGATGCTGGTTTTCATTTTCAGGCTCAGGCCAGACACATCCACAACTCCAATTGAAACTTCGTACAGAACTGGGCCCTAAAGTGTTTAATGTCCAGACCAGGAGTTTGGTTTTCTGAAAATAGGATGCTCTCTAGTCTGAGCACTAATACTATGTAATCCTCCAATTTAAATAAACAGCTGCAGCCAAATCCTCAGTAAAACACGGAACAGCTCAGAAGGCAATCGTGCAAAGACCTTTACTGCTTTTGCAGCTCTTGGTCCTAGTGCCAATTTGTGACGGCCTGGCCCCTGATATAAAGTAGACAGCCTCAGGGCTGCTCTATATTCTGACTGTCACCAATAGTCATTCTAGCATCTGGGCACACAAGTCAAGCTCATACCATCCAGGGATTTCCCCCCATTCTAGGAGAAGCCTCAGATGGTCACTTATGCCACATGTAAATCTGCTTTGCCCTGCTAGAACAATGCAAATGCAGACTTAATTGGTCTGAGAATCTGACCCCTCTCCTGGGATGAATTAGTGTTTCCAATCTACTATTTAAAGGAATGCACAATTTACTCTGTCATTTATTATTTGTAAGTTGTTTAAGGTGCATCAGTGTCAGATTCACATACATTTACTGTACATTAACATGCACATGAAGGTAGCAATTTATTTATACACATTATGCAAAGGATTGCATAACTGTTTTGCAGACTTAATGTGGCTCCCATTAACGTCAATGGCAAAACTTCCATTGATTTTGCTGGGAAGAGACTGAGGCCCTCAGAGAGCACTTATGGACAAACCACAGGTACAAATCATATGCAAATCATTAACATAATTTATACTTAATTTTTCATGAGCCATTAGATCCCCCACCAATATGATACAGAGCTACCCACCTGAACTGAGATACCTTTGCCCTCCCTGGAATTTGAAGCTCCCTCTCCATCTCCTCTCTGCTGGAGCTCAGTTTATCAGTTAGGATGTCTATGCGGTTTATCCTGAACAGCAGCTCCTTTAAGAAGGACAGATTGTCTTCCTCCATCATGCCCTTTTCCTCGAGTGCTAGGAATAAGGCCTCAGGATCACGGATGCCTTCCTGCTTCCGCAGTGGGATGTGTTCCAGGCTTAGAAACTTCAGAGCCACCAGGTCTTCTGTGGCCAGAGCCTCACTGATGGTGTAGAGGAGCTTGTGGAAGTCCATCTTCCTCAGACAGCTGACAAAAGGTTATTTCAGTCGTAGATAAAAGGAAAGAAGGGTCCCAAGTGGCCTCTGTTTAGACTGTGAATAAGAAAACCGCTGTATGTATCTGGTATGGCAGCAATTTGCAAATAGTCTCATAATAAACTTTGTACCTATTTATTTTTTTATTCGTCCCTTGGAGCTGCCATGCCTTTATCAATTCTAGCATTAGGATTGCATACCACTGGGTCATCTACCTTAGTCGAGTACCTGCATTTGGCAATGGCCAGTACTTGGGATGCTGGAGAAAATGGCCCCTCATTCCCAATAAGGGCTTAATATCCTACACCAGGGGTCGGCAACCTTTCTGAAGTGGTGTGCCGAGTCTTCATTTATTCACTCTAATTTAAGGTTTCGCGTGCCAGTAATACATTTTAACGTTTTTTAGAAGGTCTCTCTCTGTCTATAGTATATAACTAAACTATTGTCTTATGTAAAGTAAATGAGGTTTTCAAAATGTTTAAGAAGCTTCATTTAAAATTAAAATGCTGATCTTATGCCGCCGGCCCGCTCAGTCTGCTGCCGACCTGAGGTTCCGTTCATCTAGGCTGGCAGCAGGCTGAATGGGACCGGCGGCCAGGACCGGGGCCAGCAGTGGGCTGAGCGGGGCTGGTTGCCGGGACCCCAGACTGGCAGTGGGCTGAGCAGCTCAGCCCGCTGCCACTCAGCCTGCTGCCGGTCTGGGGTCCTGGCCCTGCCCACATAGAATGGATACCTACCTTCTCCCTGGTTTGAGTCCATTCTCTTCCTCTCTCTCTCTGCACTGAGCAGACGACTGGGAGTGAAGGAGCAGGTTGGGGTGTAGGGTCTGGCCAGGAGCTAGAATGAAGGAGGGGGCTCAGGGTTGGGTCAGAAGGTTTGGGTGCGGAGTGCTTACCTGGGCAGCTCCCATTTGGTGTGAGGGGTGCAGGTGGGAATGTGGGGTGGTGGTGCAGGAGCTCCCATTTGGTGCTTAGCGTGGGGGTGGGGATGTGGGGGGGTGCAAGAGTCAGGGCATGGGGTGTGGGGGGGCTGGGTATGTGTGGGGGTGCAGGAGCCAGGGCAGGGTGTGTGTGTGAGGAGGGTGCAGGAGTCAGGGGAGAGGGCTGGGGGCATGTGAGGGGGGTGCAGGGATCACGGCAGGGGCTTGGGGGAGGTGGGGGGGATAGGGCGGGGAGCGGGGTGGGAGTTGAGACTCCAGGGCTCCGGGAAGGGGCTTGTATCTGACGCTCAGGGGAGGAGTGCTGGGAGCAAGGACTCTGGATTCCTAGGTTTCCAGCTGGGCTCTAGCTATTCTAGGGGGTGGGGGGCAGACAGAGACTAGGGCTCTGGACTCCTGGGTTGTACCCTCAATGCCGGAGGGGAGCAGGGTCCAGTGACCTGGGGTGGGGAAAGAGGCGCGACCCAGCTGTTCCCAGGGTCCAGCAGACGGCGAGCCACAGCCCCCGGGTTCGGGCTGTGGGACGCGGCCTGCCCCAGTACAGAGTCGAGCTCATCCTGGCACCGGGGCTCCAACCCTGGGGCAGCCTGCCTGAGTCAGGGAGTGGAGTTGGCCGTGCTCGGGGTGGGCTGGTGCACAGCGCATTTGGGACCTGGGACCCTTCCCCACTTACAGGCCTCGTGGGCACTGCAACTCCTGTGGGGCCAGGTCCTTCTTCCTGCCCCCGCCGGTGGGGCTGCTTCCAGGGCCACTGACTCCGCGGACACCAGGTAGCGGTATGGACGTGCTAACCCGGAAACACAACCTCCCACTGGAAGTAACAGAGGTCAGGAAAGCATGTGCAAATGCTGGCGGGAGGGCCGGATTTTTAATGGCACGCTGCCGGGGTCCCGGCCACCGGCCCCACTCAGCCCAGCAGCGGGATGAACGGGACCCCGACAGGCAGCAGTGTGCCATTAAAAATCAGCTTGCGTGCCGTCTTGGGCACGCGTGCCATAGGTTGCCAACCCCTGTCCTACACCCACTGAAGTTGGTGATAAATCTCAATTGACTTCTGCGCATCTCCCGGAAGTGGCCGGCATGTCCCTGCAGCCCCTGGACGCAGGGGTGATCCACAGCTTCCATTGGACAGGAACTGCAGCCAATGGAAGCTGTGGGGGCAGCGTCTGCAGGCACGGGTGTGACAGTGTATCCCATAAGTCTTCATGGGAATATGCTTATGAATATATATATGATATAACTGGAATATGTTTTATGCTACATATGCCATGTAACACATCTATGTAAAGGTTATGATCTACGGAATACATTCCTCCTATTTGTATGCATGTATCATTTTTGTACTTGAAGTTAGTAATATGGCTGTATACTTGTTTGATTTCTATTGAAAAAGGAATGTGCAAATTAAATGCCCAATCAAGAACCACTTAAGCCAGCAATGAACTTTAAGATGCCAATCCACATCGGAGCTTTCCCAGGAATGTGGCTTGACTGGTTAGAAACTCAATCATGCGACTTGCCCATGTGACTCCATCTTGGAGCTGGACTTTGCATAGGAGAGAGGAGGGGGGTCTCCCCCCACAAGAGAAAGTCTATTTAAACCTGTGGGAGACCCCTCCATTTGGTCTTCAGCTGGCTAAAGAGAGAGCCTCTCCACCCCAAGGATACCTGAAAGAGACTGGAACAAAGGTCAGTAACTACAGGAGGTGAGAGTGATTGCTGGACCCAGACTAGGAGACTAGTCTGTAAAAGGAAGCTTACTGGAATTGGTGAGGTTTTTATCTGTACTCAGCTGTCTTACTGTATTAGACGCAGACTTGCGTGTTTTATTTTATTTTGCTTAGTAATTCACTTTGTCCTGTCTGTTACTACTTGGAACCACTTAAATCCTACTTTCTGTATTTAATAAAATCACTTTTTACTTATTAATTAACCCAGAGTATGTATTAATACCGGGGGGGGGAGCGCAAACAGCTGTGCATATCTCTCTATCAGTGTTATAGAGGGTGAACAATTTATATGTTTACCCTGTATAAGCTTTATACAGAGTAAAACGGATTTATTTGGGGTTTAGACCCCATTGGGAGTTGGGCATCTGAGCATTAAAAACAGGAACACTTCTGGAAGTTGCTTTCAGTTAAGTCTGCAGCTTTGGGGCAGGTGGTTCAAGACCCTGGGTCTAGTTGGAGCAGACTGGTGTGTCTGGCTCAACAAGATAGGGTGCTGGAGTCTCAAGCTGGCAGGGAAAGCAGGGGCAGAAGTAGTCTTGGCACAGCAGGTGGCAGTTCCCAGGGGGGGGGTTCTGTGATCCAATCCATCACAGCAGGCACTGCGCAGAGCCACCTGGCTGCGCCTCTACCTAGGTACCAGTCATGCTGGCCACTCCTGGGAGCAGCGCGGAGCCAGGGCAGGCAGAGGGAACCTGCCTTAGGCCAGCTGCGCTGCCGACCGGGAGCTGCCTGAGATAAGCGCTACCCAGACGCAGCCCACAGGTCGAACCCTCTCCTGTACCCCAACCCCCCACTCCAGGTCGGAGCCCCCTCCTGCACTCTAACTCCCTCCCACACCCCAGCCCTGAGCCCCCTCCCCAGCCCTGAGCCCCCTCCAACACCCTAATTTCCTCCCAGAGCCCGCACCCCCTCCCACACCCCAACCCCTGCCCCAGCCCTGAGCCCCCTCCCACACCCTGAACCCCTTGGCCCCAGCTCAGAGCTCCTCCTGCATCCCCAGCCCCACTGCAGAGCCCGCACCCCCAGCCAGAGCCCTCACCCCCTCCTGCACTCCAACCCCCTGCCCCAGCGAGTGAAAATGAGTGAGGGTGGGGAGAGCGAGCAGGGGGTGGTGTTTGAAGTGAGGGGGGGGTCTCAGGGCAGGGCAAGCGTTCAGTTTTGTGCCTTAGAAAGTTGGCAAGTCTGTGCCTTCCCCTTATTTCACTCGCTGACTTCTGCCACCAGCCCTTCGGGGACAAGGCAGGGGAGGGCCAGGAAACCCGAAGCCACCGCTGGATGTAATCTCCAAGCGGCGCCTCGCGTCCCCTGACAGCACGAGCCCTGTGCAAACTGCGCCCTTCCCTGGGCCCCGCGCCCTGGCCCTTCCTCGGCACTTCTCCTCAGGCGCCTTTAAAGCACTTCACAAGGGCGAGTATGAGCCATTAGCCCCATTTTACAGCGGGGGCCACTGAGGCACAGGGCCTCGCTCCAGCTCCCCCAGAGGCCAGCGCCAGGGACACCAGCCTGCGCCCCCAGGCCAGGGCTCCAGGCACTGGGCCGCGCTGAGAGCCTCCAGCCGGGTACCCGGACAACGAGAACCCGCCTAACGCCAGAGGCCGCTCCCGCCCGGCCCGGCCCGGAAGCAGCGCGCCCGGCCCCCCCGAGCAAGGGGGCGCTGCCCCGCTGCAGCCTCTCCCGGGGCGCGCCCGCCAGCCCGGGCTTTAGCAGCCGGAGCGGCGCCCGCAGTTCCAGCCGGCTCCACCGCCTGCCTTCCCGGGCAGCCTGAGCAGCCGCGCCGCCTCCCCCAGCGCAGCGCAGCGCAGCGCCCAGCCCGGCCGCCCCGGGCCTCCCCCTGCCCCGCCACACGCCGGAAGCGACCGCCCGGAGAAGCCGCCACGGCGCCCTCGGCGGTCTAAAAACCTCCCTCCCCCGTCAATCAGGGCTGCCCGCCTCACCTGCCCCGCACGCTCATGCCGCTGGGGGCCGAACAGACGCGACGCGGCGCTAGCTGGGATCCCAAGCCCAACCCTTTCAGAGGCGGGGAGCGGGGGCAGGGCCTGAGCTGCAGGGAAAGACATGCCCGGGCTGAGCCCCGGGCACACATGAAGCACTGGCTGGGCGGGAGAGTGGCGGCCCCAGCTTCTTGCCTTGGTGCTGGGTGCATTTCTCCACACACCCTGCCTGCCCCTTGGTGCCAGGTGCGCTGGGTGTTTTGTTAACCTTGGAAGTAGGGGAATGCAAAGTTCCTTCCTGCTGCTGGGAGATGACTCACGGGAGGTCTCAAGTGCAGAGCTTAATTTGTGCCAGAGCTGATCCCTGGCATCTCTAGGCCTGGCCGATCACCTCTTGGCTTGGTAGTTCATAGCGTGAGCCCCAGCATCTCTTTCATTACAAATTAAACACTGATCAAATGTATATTGTGATTTTTTCCTCCTTCCCCTCCTCAATAAAAAAGTACTGGATCTTTAACAAAGATATCGCAAGTGTTTCTCAGGCATTTGAATTTAATAGCTACTATAAACCCAATAATCTGTCAATCTTCTGGCGTTTCAGGGTTACAAAATATCTGAATTTTCTAATTTAAAACAACAACGCAGATATGCCCAAACCCACCCCAGGTTTCCAGGCCTTCTTAATGCACCATAAAGAAGCAAAGTATGTTTTTTCACCTTAAGAAAATCAAGAGCAATGAAGAACTTTATAGATTAATTTAAATGGAATTTAAATGGAATTTCATATCCAGTCAGTTTACAGCAAGCTGTATCCCAGTGATTCTCAAAGTTTTGTACTGGTGACCCATTTGACATAACAAGCCTGTGAGTGCAACCCCCCCCCCCCCGCCATTAAAAATACTTTTTAATATATTTAACACCATTATAAATGTTGGAGGAAAAGCAGGGTTTGGGGTGGAGGCTGACAGCTTGCGACCCCCCCCCCCCATGTAATAACCTTGTGACCTCCTTGCGGGGGGGGCACCCCCAGTTTGAGAATCCCTGCTGTACCTAGTGCTTATAGTCAACTTTTAATGAATGTCCTTCTTCTGCGGTAAAATGGATTAGACACCACATGCCAAATATCAAAATCTTTAGTTAGTCCTAGGGATGGCTTTAAGTACGTATTTAAAGTTAAGCACATGGCTTAAGTGCTTTGCTGACTCAGAGTCTTACTCCTTACTGATGAAACCATCTGTGCCATATCTTAAAGGAACATCCCCTTATTTGATGCCTCGTGTCCTATTTCCCATATCACTATAGAACCTTCTGTGTTGCCAAAAAGATGAGACTTTGAGCTCTTTGGGACAGGGATAATCTTTTTGTTCTGTAATTGTACAGCACCTAGCACCAGGGGATCCTAGTCATTGACTATGAATCCTAGGGACCATGGTAATACAAATAATAATAAATGATAATAGTAATACTTTGCAGGATATAAACACATAGATGATTTTTAGGTTGTATGGCATCCTGTGTGTCTGTACAGTGCCAAGCAGATTACTGCTAAACAAGTAAAATTTCTGTATTTTCCACTCCATGCATCTGATGAAGTGGGTTTTGCCCACAAAAGCTTATGCCCAAATAAATGTGTTAGTCTCTAAGGTGCCACAAGGACGCCTCGTTGTTTTTGCTGATACAGACTAACACCACTCTGAAAAGTAAAAGTTCTGTATTTTTGATTTTTGCACTACAAGCAGAATATTATGTGCTGCTGTCCCTTAAAAATAAATTCTGCTGGCCTTTGTTCCTTGAAACACAAATGACCAGCCCAGTCCTTCTTCATGCAAACTCCCACTGACGTCAATGAGAGTTCACCAGAGTCACTGAGAACTGGGAGAAAGACCTCAGGCTTTAGCCTGAGATATTAATAAAAATATTATCCTAAGATTAATTTTAAAAAATCATTTCAGAAATAGCTGGCAATGTGTGGCTCCCAATGAGCCTTTTTTAGGCTGGAACAAAATTGCTTGTGAGCAATCCGAGAGGTACCTTACTAAAGTAACAGCTGTATATTCACAGGCAGCATGAGTCACCTTTGAAAGGGCACCAACCGTTCTAAAGCCAGCTCCTGAGGTACTTGGTACTTACGTTTTAACTACAAAGTTGTCCCACCTCACGGTCTTCGCTGCAGTCGGTTATCCAGGCTGCTTTTAAGGTTAGTGGTAACTCAGCCACATTTTTACATGAAGGCAAGCAGTATACACACACTCTAACTCAAGACTTCCTGGTCGCCTGGATTGCCTGGCTGCTGATGGGAAGTGTTATGCATTAAGACGCATGTTATTCCTGTAACCACATTGCTTGAGCAGTATGTTTTAAGGGGCGTGGCATGGGGGAGTCAGAGCCTTGTAATGTCATTTCCTTCTCCATCCCCACCCCCAAAAGGTACACCACCCGGAAATCCTAACACACTTGTGAGCCATTTCACCATATTTTCAAAATCACAAACAAGGGCAGTTTAGTGGTATCTGTTTTAGGGCTGTGGAATACTCAAAAGTGCAGTTTTGGCGGGTTGTTTTAGATGTGTGCCGGGGCCATTATGGCCAGCTTCTGACTCAACAGCAGTGATGTGCATATTCCACAGGGCAGTGGATTTTTTTCAATCACTTCATGTCTGAATGAGCTGAACAGTCTTCAAATATGTTAAGGACTGTGATTAGTTGTTCTACATATCCACTGAAGGTAGGACAAGAAGTACTAGACTTAATCTGCAGCAGATAATTAGATATTAGGAAAAAACTATAAGGATAGTTAAACTCTGGAATAGGCTTCCAAGGGAGGTTGTGGCATCGCCATAATTGGACGTGTTTAAGAACTGGTGGGAAAAACACCAGTCAGAGATAGTCTAAGACAGTGGTTCTCAACCAGGGATACACATACCCCGGGGGTAGGCAGAGGTCTTCTAGAGGGTACATCAACTCTTCTAGATATTTGCCTACTTTTATAACGCCTACATAAAAAGCACTAGCAAAATCAATGCAAACTAAAATTTCATAGGTTTCAGAGTAGCAGCCGTGTTAGTCTGTATCCGCAAAAAGACCAGGAGTACTTGTGGCACCTTAGAGACTAACAAATTTATTTCAGCATAAGCTTTCGTGGGCTACAGCTCACTTCTTCAGATGCATAGACTGGAACATATAATAAGAAGATATATGTATATATACACATACAGAGAACATGAAAAGATGGAAGTTGCCAAACCAACTCTAAGAGGCGAATTAATTAAGATGCGCTATTATCAGCAGGAGAAAAACTTTTGTAGTTATGAGCAAGATGGCCCATTTCAGACATTTGACAAAAAGGTATGAGGATACTTAATTTGGGGAAATAGATTCAATTTGTGTAATGACCTAGCCACTCCGAGGTGCTATGCAAGGCAAAGTTAATGGTATCTAGTTTGCATATTAATTCAAGTTCATACTGCTCTATATGCTGAAATTAAAGTACAATCAATATGTATATTCCAACTGATTTTTTTTATAATTATAGAATTCTAATTAAATTAGAAAGTAAGCAGTGTTTCAGTACCAGTGTGCTGTGACTCTTTGTATTTTTATGTCTGATTTTGTAAGCAAGTAGTTTTTAAGTGAGGTGAAACTTGGGGGCACACAAGACAAATCAGACTCCTGAACGGGGTACAGTAGTCTGGAAAGGTTGAGAGCCACTAAGGTTTACATGGTCCTGCCTCAATGCCAGGGGCTGGACTTGATGACTTCTCAAGGGCCCTTCCAGCTCTCTATTTCTATCCAGAAACACTCAATGAGTGTTGGTAACATTCCTTCTGAGCTAATGAATAGTTTTGATAGCCTCCACATTTACTTGGCATTTCTCTGCCCTTAAAAAACTGTTCATCACAGTGAACACCCATTCCACTGGACTGTTTGTTCCTTGTAAACACAGAGAAAATTCTACTCAGTATAGCATTACATCTTGAACAAGCATTTTACATGATCAAAGAAAAATGGTTTTTATAGATTAATAATAATAATAATAATAATAAACCCTAGGACATCCTAGGTGTTCCAAAAGAAGATCCTATTACATCAGGTGAAAAACATAGACATAAGGTCATTTTAGGCATGTCAGGTGGGGGATATCTTCAGATCTGGGTTTTAGGCTTGGGCCAGTCTGACTGATTGCAAAGTCACATTTAACATTGTATTAACTCCTAATTTTCTAGTGAACACAAGTCCTGAAGGAAGAGCAGCTTTCGCATTAATTCTACAATCACATACTGCTGTGTAAATCAAGTGCAAATCCACTGATGTAAAACCAATGTAAGTAAAGGATGATTCAGGCCAAGGTAGGAATAAAGGTGCTGCCTGGAAAAAGTTTTCTACCTACAGAAAATCTGTGGCACTTAAAATAGCATATTGGGTGGGGAAATTCCCAAAGTGGTGTCATGGTGAGTAGTTGTTTTACTGCAAGAGAAAAAGATTGGGGGGGAAGCCCACGAATGAAATTTAGGGACTTCCCAAACAAAGCAATGAAGCAGAATTTTCTACTCAAAAGTATTAGGACCACAAAAAACAAAACAAAACAAAACACTTTTCTGTTCAGTATGACTCTTGCTAACACTTATCTATCTGCCTATCTACACTGCTGCCTATCATAATAATATCTGAGGGTATGTCTACACTGCAATGCAAGCCCAGGCTGAGACTCAGGCTCAGGTGCTACCCCCCTTCTGTCTACACACAAATGTCTTGGATTGTGGCTCAGACCCAAGGTCATAGAACCTTTTGGGGGTGGAGGGTCTGAGCCTACGTCTAAAACAGGAACCAGGGTTCAAGCCCAATTGTTTCACCATGTGGACTCAGGCCCTGGGAGTCTGCCAGTGCTTTCCCACAACCCCTTAGGTGGGTTTTCTTTGTCCTCTCTAGCCCTCACCAGTTGACTCCCAGATAACAGAGGCAACTCTGTTTGTTCAAGGACAGCTTGGTGTTTATTAACCCTTCCATTTTATTCTGATCGCTAAGATGCAAACACAATGAACATTCTTCTGACTTTGCCATGGCCACTAACCAGAATAAGTCCTTTTCCAAGCATGCTCCTGATTGCAGGAACATAGACAGATTTTGGTGAATCTCCAGTGTGAGGCGAGCAAGGCACTCAGTTTTAGTAAGAGTCCCAGGAATGACTAGGCCTACCAGCAAATAGCAAAGATGCTGGCAGTGTTGGAAATTTACTGGACCAGTGACCAGTGCAGAGAGTGGATTAAGTGGCTCTAGACCAACTACCACCAAACCAGGGACCAGAACTGAACCTCGGAGATCGCCCCATCATCACGCCTGTTTTACAAGGTGTTAAGGTTTTTTTCCCACTTTGAACTTTAGGGTACAGATGTGGGGACCCGCATGAACGCCCCCTAAGCTTATTTACCAGCTTAGGTTAACAGTAAGCTGCCACCACCAAGCATGTTTTAAATTTTAGAGGAGAGCCACTTGGAACTTTGCCTTTTTTAAAATATTTTTTAAGTTTTTAGCCCCCCCCCTTTTCTGGGCAGATTTGAGACCTTACACCCCTTTTTTTGAGTAGGCTTGAGAGTATACCCTTACCAATTAGTTCTGGTGAACACAGATCCAAAACCCTTGGATCTTAAAACAATAACAAATTAATTAGGTTTTTAAAAGAAGAATTTTAATTAAAGAAAAGGAAAAAAATATTTTTGTAAAATCAGGATGGAAAATAACTTTAGAGGGTAATTAGATTTAAAGAGCCCAGAGGAACCCCTTCTAGCCTTACTTTTAAAGTTACAGCAAAGCAGGGATAAACCTTCCTTTAGCAAAGGAACATTTACAAGTTGAGAAAACAAAGATAAAACTAACACGCCTTGCCTGGCTGTTACTTACAAGTTTGAAATATGAGAGACTTGTTTAGAAATATTTGGAGAGCATGGATTGATGTTCTGTTCCTTTTAGTTTCAAGAGCGAACAACCCCCAAAACAAAGAGCACACAAATAAAAGCCTTCTCCCTCCCCAAGATTTGAAAGTATCTTGTTTTCTTATTGGTTCTCTGGATTAGGTGTCAGCCAGGTTACCTGAGCTCTTTAACCCTTTACAGGTAAAAGGATTTTGGTGTTTCTGGCCAGGAGGGATTTTATAGTATTGTACACAGGAGGGTTGTTACCCTTCCCTTTATAGTTATGACACAAGGACTTGGACTAGATGTAGGGTACTGCACCGAACCCCGAACCAAGAGTGGTTCACGATGACCTGGTCAGCTGGGATGAATTTACGGATGACATTCTGAACAGGGCTGAATAAAAGGAGAAAGGGACTTACAGAAAATGGAAAAACAAGATAAGAGGCAAGCAGAAAGGCTCAGACAGGCCGCACAGCTGTAGGAATGCTTTGTTCACACAGTTCAACTTGCAGCAGAGCTCTCCTGCCAAGACCAAAATCACCTTTCCTTCCCATTTGCCCCCCAGCGCCACTATGCCCCTCTCTTCTTAGAAAAATCCACAGCCACACATACAGTGGTGTAAACCAATAACATTTCAAATATCTGCATCGAAACTTCTATTTTCCTGTTTCCACATCCAATTAACTCTCAAAATATAGATGCCCAGATTGAGCCCTGGTATTAGCAGGTACAAACACACATTAATGCCAATTAAGTTTTCTGCACTGATTCCAATGGAGTTGCTGCTGGCCTGCTGCTAACGCCAGGGTTGAGTTTGGCCCAGAAAGTCCAGTTATTTTTGTTGTTGTTTTTTTAAACTATAATTTAATATCTGAGAGGCTAAGATTTTCAAACATGATTAGTGATTGGGGTGCTCAGTTTGAGGTACTTTTAAAGGGATCTGATTTTTGGAAGGTAGCTCAAGTCTCTTTAAGGTTTCTTGAATTGGACCCCCAAAAAATTGAGGCACCAAAATCACTAGCTATCCTGAGAATCTTGACCACAGTCTTAGGCGTTACACAGACAAATCTGAAGTCTGATACTTGTCATATAGTAACACAAAGAGATTATATTCTTTTTGGTTTGGGCAGCAGGCATCCTGTAGAACTTTCAAGAACAGTTCACATACATTGGGGAGGGGGGGGGAGGTAAATCACCTAAAACCCATGGTCACAGAAGCAACAAATAAAATTCAAGATAAATCTCACTGCTGTTCTGTGAGGGTTTCTCTTACTTTTATTACAGAACAACTATCGGTTCCTACCTCACTTAATCTCAGCATTTCCCGCTTTCCAACAGCATCCACATTCCAGACAACTGCATCTGAAAGTATATGCTGAGTAAGACCTTGGCTACACTTGCGAGTTACAGCACAATAAAGCAGCCCCAGGCACCCTAGCTCACTCCCCGTCCACACTGGCAAGGCATGTAGAGCGCTCTGACTCCGCAGCTACAGTGCTGCTGGTACTGCACATCGGCGAGTGGAATAACGTTTGCTGCACCCCTGCTGGAGCGCCGCAGCATCAGTGTGGACGAGGTGTTGCGTTACTGCGCTGTGATCAGCCTCCGGAAACGTCCCATAATCCCCTTAAGTCAAGTGGCCACTCTTGTCATTGTTGTGAAATCGGCTGCAGAAATGCGGAAATGCCCTTTCAAAGCTCCGTTGCGGAGAAGCCAGCTGCTTATCAGCTCTGAGAAAAGCAAACATTTACTGTTTGCTTTGAGTGAGTGAGAAAGAGGAGAGAGGGTGGAGGGTCTGAACTTACGAGACAGCGTGCTGACACACTCTCAGCACCCCAAAAACCCATTCTCTCTCCCCCACACCTACACACAACACACTCCCTGTCACACTCCACCCCACCCCCATTTGAAAAGCACGTTGCCGTCACTTGCATGCTGGCATAGCTGCCCATAATGCACCGGTCCCAATGCTGCCAGTGCGCTTGAAGCTGTCAGTGTAGACAGACTGCAGCACTTTCCCTACTGTGCTCTACGAAGGCGGATTTAACTCACAGTGCTCTACATCTGCAAGTGTGGCCATACCCTAAGTGTCAAGTAAGTGTCATGTGCAGCTGTTGTAATCCAATCTGAAGAATTTGCAAAGGAACTCCAAGTATAGGAGAGACAAGGCTAACCTCTAGAAATTTCACAGATTTAACCTTATCTTTAGGAATAGAAAAGAATGTTTAATTTAAAGGCATCATGACACTATTCTCTTAGTCACGAGGTTTATAAATGGAGCCTTAGTATATTTATAAAGGATTAGTAAATGATTGATAAATGTTTTAATAAATAATCAAATGTTAGAATCCAACGGATCACTAGATTGCTTATAACTATGGCATAATCATAACCCCTTCCACTGATGTGATTATTACCCTCTGTAAGACATACTGCTCCTTTCTGTAACATAGCTAGGATGACGAGATGTCCCGTATTTAAGCCTTCCTGCAGGTGTCCTGACTTTTTCTTAAAAACGGGCAAATTGTCCTGTATTTTCTATCCCTTTCCCCACCCTCCCACCCCTATCAGTACCCTTCACATGGAAGGAGCTAGAGAAGTGCAAAGTGTTATATTATCATCCTGTTCCTTGGTCACTGTCTGGGTGGATACAAATACATTTTTTTAAAGTGCTAAACAAATTTGAATCTTCATAGGTGCAGAGAGAATATTTTCTTCATTTCAGTTTATTCAACTAGTTCAGTTCATGTACTAGCTCATTCAAAGTTAAGAACCCAATTGGAAGTTGAAAAAGGAGGAATGCTGTTTTTCTCTTCCACTCTATGAATAAAAAGTAAGTTTGAGAGAGTAAGATCTACTAGTTTTAAAATCTTGAAGGACATGGTAACCAGAAATAAATCAGTTAAATTCATTAAACACAGATAACACTGCCTTTGTTTAATAAATTGGTTAGTTTTAAATGGTTTGATAAACTTTTTTCTTATGCACTTTTAAGGTCATTTTATTTAATAAAAACAATAAAATGCTATTTTTCTGAATTTTAATTTAATTTGAATTTCCACCAAATAGAGTGTGACAAAGGTCACAAATAAAAAAATTAATCATCTACTAAAAACAAAATGCCTCATTCACCATTTTCTAACAATCAAAAAATGTCAAAACAAAGAAGCTGAATAAATATAAGTTAAGCTATATTGTTGCTTAAATAAATATGTACAGATATAGTGTATCCTCCCAGTTAGCAAAAATTACCACCAAATTTAGTGTAAAGGCTATATTTAGTTGCAAGTCAACAGGCTTTGGTGGTTACCAACTAATGAGAAATCAACATTTCCTTAAGTAAAAAAAGTACAAATGCAAAACATGATTAAAATGGTGGTTTCCTGCTTGCGGATTTAATTAAATGGTCACTGTACAAAGGGACTTTTTTTCCCCTAAGAACCATGCGATAGACCTGATCCCCTAGGTAATGTATAGCTTAATTTTCTCTGTCCATGCAGGTAATGGAAACTGTGTCTGAACCATGTGGAATCTTCCCAAGATCAGATCTGTAAATCAAGAATGCAAATCAAGGAAGGTTTTTTGGAGGTGACGGGGGGTCAGGAAGGGCACGGGTTGAGATAGTAAAGATGGATTTTGGTAAACCAAGACGGGATGTTTTTCTAGAAGTTATGCTCTAGTTGAAACAGGAATTAATTCAGGAAAGTCCTATGTCTCCAATACAGGAGGGTCAGACTAGATGATCACCAGGGATCCTAGAAATCCATTTGCCACGGAAAAAAATGGAATTTAGAGATTTTCTGTAAAAAAACAGTTTTTACATTTTGTGAACAAATAAAAACATATATTAACTATTAACTAAATTTTACTAAAAGTACCGGTGTCACTTATTCAATGCGTGCAACCTCCCCCTCTTGTGGTTGATTTTTGAATGCGTTTTAAATGTACATAGCTAAACATACTCCAATAAACTGCTTCCAGTGTATAGAGGTTACTCAACAGCATATAGGGGTTTGCGTTTTAATGCATCCCAAATTTCACTTCAGCCTCCAGACGTGAGTAATTAAAGTTATGAAAAGAGGCCAAAAACTTTAAAAATCACCCCTAAAGACTGTGTCACTGAGTTTGGCAAGGAAAAATTTCACATTGATGGTAATGTCCTGTTCTGTTCTGTATGCAGCAAGGCTATCGATTACATTCAAAGGCAGGCAGTTGTAGAACACATGGAAAGTGCTAAACAAACTGAATGAAAAGAAATGAAAACAAGAGGCTGAACTCGCAGGACCATCAACAGTAAAGAAACAATTCACTGTGACTGTATCATTCAAGTGTTTATGCATTAAACCCCCCCCCACACACACAATTTTCTGAAAATATAGAATACAGACATACAAATCTAGTCCAACCCCCTGCTCAAAGCAGGACCAATCCCCAGACAGATTTTTACCCCAGATCCCTAAATGGCCCCCTCAAGGACTGAACTCAACGCTGGGTTTAGCAGGCTAATGCTCAAACTACTGAGCTATCCTCCCGCCACACCCACCCAATGGCACAGGTAGGCTTTGAACTTGCTTTAAAAATTGTAAATATATCAATGAAACATTGCGTTCAACTGATAGCTATACATATTGTGGCTAGAGAAACTAAAATTCAGCATTTAATTTTAATTGTGGAAAAATATGGATTTTTATGGTTTTTTACTGGAGAATTTGGGGGATTTTCTTATCTCAGAAAACTAAGATCCCTGATTATCACAATGGTCCCTTTTGGCCTTATCATCTATGAATAACATTGACAAATGGAAACTGTACAATTCCTCATTGTTTGGGAATCAAGATTTTGCAGAGTGCGTCTTCATTTGAAATCAGGACCAAGGGGTCAATGCTAGAAGGTGCTGAGCACTCTCAACTCCTACTAAAGTAGACAGATGCAGGTCAGTCACTCAGCCCCTTTGCTTACGCACATTTGGTGACTTGGACAGCTGCAGATCTGGAAGTCAGGACGCTGAGCCATTGCAGTGATGGAGATCTGAGAGTTGAGGGCCCTCAGTACCTTGCAGGACTGGGACCTAACTGAACAAATCCAGTCCATTTGTCTTTTGGAACTGCAAGTTGAATCCATCCCAAAATTCCTAATTTAGTGTATCTCAGACTTCTTATTGCTTTGGTTAATTGTCTAGCGTTGGCACCTGGAAGATCAGTTTCCTCCGCAGGGTTGATTTTATTTCCGGCATCTGCTTTTTCCCATTAAACTCTTTTTCTCCCATTTTTTTGTTGACTTGTGTCAGGATTGTCAGCAGATCCACGTACCTTAAACACATTACAAGGGAAAAAAGAGTTACATAGAAATACATGGTACTTTCAAACTAGGCCTTCGAGGCTGGTCTGGGAAGTTATCCATGTTTGCTTGATTCCATGATCCCTTGGGACAAGGACAATGGCTTCCCCGTACTCCTGGCTAGTCCCCCAGTTTGAATACTCTACTATGTAACTATTACACTCCACATATATCTGAAGAAAAAAGAAGTTCAGAAAGGCCACTCAGTGTAAGTTTTTCTACCAAGTGAGATTTGTCTTCCCTCTTGGTACTGGTTAGGAACAGCATTTAGATAATATGGAGAACACAAATGAACACAATCCCTCACCCAGCTCTCCATGATGCTACACAAGACTTATCACCAGACACCATTTCCCTTCATTTCTAAACCAAAACACTAGCAATTCTTTTTTTATAGACCAGCAGCCTAGTGAAGAGAGGTTCTTGCCATTGTTCTTTACTAAAAAGATTTGATTGCTTCCACTGACTCCCATTAATTCCCATTGGAAGAACAAACTCATTGGTCATTTAATATTGTAAAATACTATACAGGAGACAGCTGGGGAGGGAGCACAGTGTGGAGGATTGAGCTGGGGACTGGGCGCCTGAAGATCCAGCAATATAATCCTGACTATGCTGCTGATTCATGTAACCTCAGGCAAGTCACTTTAAGTCGGTCTTATTTGTAAAACAGGAACAACAATACACACTTAGCGACGTGAAAGAGAGGTTGTGAGGTCTAATTAACGAACATACAGTGCTTGAAGATGCAAAGAGCTATATACAATAAGTGGAAAGTACTATTGTCAATGGGTTTCTACTAAGTTAGTTTAAGAAAGTGTTTCTGGGACAAATTCATCAGTCCTCTACGTGCTATTAAAACGGGGAATATGAGTAGTACGTACTGTGGGCAGAAAGACTCTATTTCCTTGCAGAGGCACTGAATGAACGCGCTGCCTTTCTCTATGTATCTGTAGCACTCAAAGTCTTCCACTGTAGCCAGACCAATGAGGATATCAGCCCAGTCAGGAATGGAAGGCAAGGGCAAAGCATCTATCTCCAGCTGTCGAGAAGAATCTTCTTTCACTGGGATACTTTTCTGCCCTCTCTTACCTTGGCAGGCTTGAATAAAGAAGAGTTTGGGTTTGCCAGCGAGAGAGGGGCACTCAGATCCAGTGAAGCAGGAGACCAGATCTTTGACGGCTGCAGAATTCCAGTCTGTCCCACGTACTTTACCTCTTTCGCCATGTGAGAGTAAGCAGCAAATGAAACAGTCCATGTTGCTATGGTCCATGTTGCTATACTTTTTGATTGTATTACAGATTTCCTCTGCTTCTAGGTTCCGGTGCTCAATTGTCTCAAACTGAAGCCACTCAAAGACCCGTTTCAGAGCCTCTGGAAGAGAAAGGGAGAGGGAGAGTCAGCACTCATTTAACATAAAGAAACAGAAGAGAGGGAAGAAGATGAAACTGTAGCAGACACTGCACTGGAGAACAAGAGACACTGTCAGGCAGTTTGGAAAGTGTTACAGTCCCACGAAGAAGCCCACCTTATTGTTCCACACCCGGTCAGTCCTCTTGGATCAAAATGATATTGCCCTAGCAAGAAATACACAGCCATTCATTTACTCCTGATACAATGCCTTTGCCTTGAGCATCATGCGGTCCTCCCAGAAAAAAGCAGGTTTTACTTCCATAGCAATTAATCATTATACATTATGAGAGTTTAGTTTGTTTAAGCATCTTTCACCAACTTCATGCTGCCCAGAGATTTGAGATACTTATGAATAGCTCTTGATAAAACAAGAGAAGGATGATGTACTTATTTAAGACTGGATTTTGCCACTCTTCCAAGGAGTAATTCCTTATTCTGCAAATAATCCTGTTGAAATTAACTCCTCTGTGCAGAGCAAGGGCAGCAGAAACTGGCTTTTAACAAAGGTAAGGATCTACACAGCTTTCCCAGTACCTGCTGACTTAGCTTTGTAATGGGCGAGAAGAGTCTCCTAGAGAGAAGAGGGTGACTGGGAAACGAGCAACTGGAAAGGGGTCAGTGTTAAAATTCAGCCATATAGGCTTTTTTAAGATGCGGCGTTAAAAAGGAAGGATGTGTGGATTCAGATAGACATGTAGTTATTGCAGGAGGAAGGGCTTAGAGGCAAATGGCAAGATGATAAGATAGTTGGATTTGTTTGAGCATTGATGCAACCAGATGTGTCTATCTACTGGATCAGAACACTTTCTAACTGGCAGTGTGGTCTCCTTATATCCTCCAGTTGTAGACTGTAGGTTAAGTGAACACAGAATTGAGAGCTTAAGGACTTTATGGCAGTTCTAAGAACTATTAAAAAAAATAGAGAGAAAAAGAAGTCATCAAGCAGAAAGACAACATAGCAGAAAAGGCACACACATATATACACACTCTATAAACAATAGCTTGTACCCAGAACAGAAAGACTTTCCTTCCTTAAACTACATTTTTAGCATATTCTGTCCACGAGGGTAAAAAGAAGTCTATCAGCTATAAACAGACAAATTCTACTGGAGGAATTGACAAGGAGACTAAAAGGGGTGTTTTTACAGCAAGATAACTAATCTGAGTCAGCTCTCAGGCTGTAAAATCCTGGCAGAGACAGTGTACTGCAGTGTAGGGAGGTGAGGTCATCCACAGGTCGGGAGTGTAGTGCTGACCTCACCTAACAAACAACTACAAGGTAAAAACTACTTGTATCTCCATTAGGCTTTTATAGGGAGAAAGCTAACACAGGTTAATTATCAAGCTCTAATAAGACCACCCTTTTTGGCAGTGAAGAGACAGCCTAAATACTGTAGCTTTTCTGATACCATAATGGCCGACATGTCTGTCAAACCAACCATGCAGGGAAGGGAGCTTAGTGAGAGTGGTCTTGTGAAAGGAAAGAGTGACAACACCGTAGCTTATCCGTTCTACAAAGGAGGGTAGATTAAATGGTTCCCTCATACAAAGTCCAACTTTGAAAACCCCCGCAGTAGTTCAACAAGCAAAATATTTACCAGCATCTTTGTCTGTGCCTCTCCTGGTTTCATCAGGATTTTTAAAATCAGAGTTGTTCAGTATCACACAATAGCCATGAGGATTATTGTCCATCGTGTAGGGGTTCTCGAGCTGTAGAGATGTACAGAGCATAATGACAAGATCGCAAAAGCAGCATAAAGAGCTGTGGGTTTTAAGGTACCCAAAAGAGAAATGGGACTAAGCACAGATTGTTACCCCGCCTCATCTAAGCCCCACAGACCTACCACAGGCTGGGGTGCTGGGGACGCGGTGCAGGGGAAGTCTGTGAATCTAGGACAGCTCTAACCTCTGCCTGCAGGGGGATGGAAGGGAGTGGGGAAATAAGAACCCTATTTCCTCCCCCCTGAGCACTCCCTCCTTCCCCTAAGGCGAGATTAGTGTTCTGGAGTAGAGGGAACGGGAGCAGGTGTTTGTCCCCAGCCCAGCCCAATACCTCCCACCCAGAGCACGTAGTGGGGGCTACCTTTGAGATTCCTGCTCCCTCCCTCCTTTGCTTGATGAGGTTCATTGATTCTTATCCATTCATTCAGCATGATTTGAGGGAGGGAGGGATGTCTTTAACCATGGCTGCCGGAAACTCTCCAATTGCTTCAGGGTGTCCTGGTGGTTCTCTTTCCCTCTCCCCCCTCCCCCAATGGCAGACATTGCTCTGTTTCCTGCCACTAACCCTAATAGGGTGTTGATCCTCAGGCAACACAGCAAAGAGTGGGGTTTACTCTTGTATTCTGGATGAGGGCTCCCTAGAGCCTCACCAACAATTGTAGGGGGGTTTGTAAATGGGATTTAGAGAGCAGCAGTTCAAGGTAAACATCAGGATTTCTCACCTTTGGCACTGACGCTGCTTCCTTTGCTCCCGATTCACCTGGGCCCGCAAATGCACATGTTTTAGGGCAGGGAACTTCCTGGTGAATATGCCCTACAAGGGGCATGAAAGGACATTTAGTGTCAAAAGCGGTGTCTTAACTTTAACATAATTCAGTACAAAGAATGGTATCCAAATGATCTGAAGGAGTGGGGTGGGGACAACTTCCAACCCCTAAAACATGGAGAACTGCTCACATTTTCATCATTGTTTAATTTACCACTTAGATAACGTCTATACCTTAGCACCTATGGGCCTACCACTGCTTAACATCAGGTTGGTTTTAGGTGTATTTAGTTAGCGATGATTAGTCCTATTTTTAACCATATGAATCAAGAGGCTGAGTCTCCATGGCACTGACCATGAAATCTGTACAGGCTTCAGAATCTAGGTGGGAAACAATGCAGGCAGCAAACATCTTCACGGATAGGGCAGTGACCGGACTCTTAGCTAAGTTACATTTAATCAAGTGAGCCTATGCTCTAGTTCATACAGGAATTAATTCAGGGAAAGTCTTAAGGCCTGTGTTATACAGGAGACCAGACCTGATCACAAGGGTCTCTTCTGGCCTTATAATTTATTAATCTACTTAAGGAGCGGTAACAAAATACCTTCGCTAAGTGTCAGGCTCTGAAAAGGAGGTTCCAAGCTCGTGATCAATTCATCTGGGGCTGAAACGGGAAGAGACAAGAAGAATGATGGACAAATTCAACCGAGGCTATCCCAGGTCTCAGTGCAGCAAGACTCTCAAGGCATCAGGTTAGCTACACGCCTAGTCTTCAACAGAAACTACCCTGAAGTCTTAAAGGACAAACAGCCTGGGCAGACGAAGCAACTCATCCAGTATACATACAATTCTGGTGAGCCTCGCTCTCTCTAAACTGTCAATACATTAGATCATGATCAACTGACACCAGTTTTCAACACGGGAAAGAAACCCTGTGGCTGTACCAGTTCTGCAGCTTCTTCGCTATATTTGTCACGTCCCACTGAATAAGAGTTCCCTTGAAGTTTTATTTTTAGATCTTGGAGGAGATCCCTTTTCCCATTAATGACTGATGATTCTCTTCTCTTCCCCTCCAGGAATGGGTTCCCCTCGTGCCCTCCTGGTGATGGATTAGCCCATTGACAGGTTGACCATTTCTGTTGCCCTGGGCTGAGATAAAGGCCCTGTCTATACTACAGAAATAATATTTAAACAGGATTGTGAAAAATGGTTGTAACACAGGCATCTACTAGGGTTAAAACATAATTCTCCAGCACGGTTATGACTGGGGATGTAAATAGGATTTAAAATAGTATCAGTTAAACAGTTAACCGTTAAGAAGTTCACATAGGCGGGAAACTAGGAGTACAAGGGGTACCGGCTGCCGGTCCCATGGCCGGGAGCAGAGCTGGCAGCAGAGTTTAATCATTAACCAAAACCAATAGACTGATGCTTATCAGTTAACCAGTAAAATTTTTACATCCCTAGTTATGACATTTTTGTACTATCTAGACCAGCAAAAATAAGTCATAATCATGTTTAAACATGGCTGTGCTGAAAAGGTATTTTTTTGTAGTGGCAACAGGGCTGAAAAATATGTCCCCTTCCTGCTCCACCTAAAGAGATGAATTAAATAATTTTCCCCCTTGGCTACAGATCTTGTCCACACTAGAAATTCCTGGAAATCTCCCACTGTTGCAATGCTTCTAGAGGTAGCAGTGGGGAGCACGACTGTGTAGACCAGGGGTCAGCAACCTTTCAGAAGTGGTGTGCCGAGTCTTCATTTATTCACTCTAATTTAAGGTTTTGCGTACCAGTAATACATTTTAACGTTTTTAGAAGGTCTCTTCCTATAAGTCTATAATATATAACTAAACTATTGTTGTTTGTAAAGTAAATAAGGTTTTTAAAATGTTTAAGAAGCTTAATTTAAAATTAAATTAAAATGCAGAGCCCCCCGGACCGGTGGCCAGGACCTGGGCAGTGTGAGTGCCACTGAAAATCAGCTCGCGTGCCGCCTTCAGCACGCATGTCATAGGTTGCCTACCCCTAGTGTAGACATCATTCAGGTGCCCACTGACGTTTACTGTACTGTTTACACCTACCCTGAGCGGCATTAGACAACAAGGGGTGGTAAAGCAACAGTGATCTGTTGACACTTGTGCTTCCACTGTTGCTACTGCTGGTGGGAGAATTTTTATAGTCAAGATTAGACATAGCCACTATCTGCCTCAGAGCCATTATCTGCTCTACTCACCAAACAGGCGATGCTTCACAAGTACATCCTAGAATAGCTGGGAGAAAGGGTCCAAATGCTCTGAGAGCCATCCAGGGGGCCTCAGAGAAACACACATGACTAAGCCAAATGCAAATGAGAACCTGCTATGAGAAAATCTGTGTATTCTCACTTTCCCCTGGCTGCTGGGTGGTGCCTCTCATTAACTGTTTCCTGAACATTGGGCCTGTCAGGTGAACAAGTCACTGCTTCATCCCCAAAAGCTCATCAAGAACACAGTAACTGGAAGTGCTGGAAATGTCCCAGTTTCTGTTTGAAAGCATTTGGCACGGACTTGAGTAAAAATGCCTCCCTTTCAAAACCTTTCCATGAATCTTCTTTCCAACCTTTGCACTAGCTCAGGGAAAATAAAGCCTTGCAACTCACTGCCAGCAAAATCTGTAAGTCTACAGACTAGTCTCCCAAGGGAAGCGGTGCAGGTCTCAGTCTTAGAGACATTTAAAACTAGACTGGTCAAAGCACAGAAAATAATACTCTGCAGAACAATTTTTCAATAGTCTCCCTCATCACCCACTTCCTTTGATCCTCGGGGCTCAGTCAAAAGAATATTCAAATGGGTAGTTTAAAATCATTACCTTGTGTTTCTACTTCGTAGGTATTAATTCTTTGCGCCAAGTCAGGTCTAACGTCCCGTAAAATACTCTTCAGCACCTTCAATTTGGTTTCATTCATTATCCCAGCTTTTTCCATTTCTATAAAGAGCTTCAATATTGTCTGTTTAAAAAAATATGATTATGTATTAGTTTCAGGTATCACCCCAACATATTAGGCATTTTTCAAACCAAAAGGAAGGCAAGGTTCCCTGCTCTGAGGAGAGGACAGGCTGAAGACAGAAACAGACAGAGAATTGGGAGGATGCGGGGGTGGAGAAATACACCAAGTTAGAAGGTGTTAGCGGGTGTCAAGATGTGAATTAACCACCTCATGGGAAAATAAATTAAGCTAAGATAGGGGATTTTAGGGCTGGTCTGCATATGGTTTTTCTGCACATATGTAACAAAATAGATTTCATTAAAGCAGTGCAAACCACTAATGTAGATACTCTTAAACTGGTTTCGCTTAATCCAGTAATTGACCAAATTAAATTAAACTAGAATAAAAAGTGTAGTATAACCCTGGATAAGTGCATCTCTATTCCAGATGTGTAACTAATATGGATTTTTAAAGAACAATTTAGTTACACTGCTGTAGGTTTTCCATTACATAAATTATTCCTAATTACTCCCCAAAGTTGTAATTGTATCAGCTAATCTTCCCATAGGGACCATAGCAGATTTGGGCCTTTTAGGGAGAGTTTTAATGCAGGCCTTGTGGATGATGGACTCAGGAAGGGTGCTTCAAAGATAGTTATTTGTCTATCTAACCTTCACCATACCCTGGGAGGCAGCTAGGTAAGTATCATTATTCCAATGTTACAAATAAGGAAAGGGGCAGAAAGGTTACGTGACTTTCCCAGGACCACACGAGTCATTGGCAGAGCCAGGATTACAATTTAGGATTGTCTGACTCCCAAATCCTGTGCTTTTTCTCCAGACCACATCCTCCTCCTTTGGGTGCCACCCAAACATCAATACCCTGAAAGCAGTGGGTAGAGGAGAGGAGTGTGCTGAATTTGTGGGAGGCAGAGGCAGGGAGATGGATGGTGTGGATAAGACAATGAGAATGTGGGAAAGACTGATGAAATGGTGTGGAAAGGAGACTAAGACAGGAGGGAGAAAGAAGGACCCTTTTTCTAATAGAGACCATCTCACAGCTCTTCCACTTACCATGAGCCATCCCCACTGCAGGCTGGGATTTACATGCACCTGTTTTCGCTACCTCCTTCGAGGAAAGAGTTAGACTACGGCTACTACAGACCTTACAGCGGTGCAGCTGAACTGTTGCAGCTGTGCCACTGTAAGCTCTCTGTGTAGCCGCTCTAAGCTGACGGGAGAGAGCTCCCGTTGGCTTAACTACTCCAGTCCCTGCTGGCGGTAGCTCTCCCATCGACTTACGCACCGGTGTGCTCAGCACTAAGTCAGCATTCGTTATGTCAGTCAGGGGGGTGGCTAACCACACCATTGAGCAATATAACTTATGTCAATTTAAGGTGTAGCATAGCCATAGCCAGAGACTCAGAACCAACTATGCACAAGAAGCCACCACGATCAAGTGTTCTTACAGCATTGTCCTGAAGCTTCTTCTTTGGTAGCTCCTTTTGCAGCAGGAATCTTACACTGGCAACTTCTTCACTAGTTATTTCTTCAGAGATTCTGTAAAGTAGTTGCCTGACAGTAAGGGAAGAAAGGAAGCAAATTAGCCAAAATGAAGATTACCTAAATGCTGTCAGGTAAGCCCCATGTGCCTGACGGGCTGGTCCACAGTAAAAGGATTTGCTTCATCCTTATCACTGCTATGTACTGTTGTCAGTAGCTACCGGTGTGGTGCTCTGCTCTTGTTCGATGATGACAACAGTCGGCTGCGTGCGTGTTCCCTCTGTGTGCTGCCCCAGTTCTGCGCAGATAGCTGACACAGCAAACCCCGAGAGAACCTCCAAAGACCACAGACTCTAGTAAGGTACAAAGGAACCCGGCCAGGTTTATTGTCAAACGAAGCACAGTAATAGTTTCCCGTAGACTCTACAGGACATACTACGAATTTGTGCCTCCTGGCAATGGACCGGCTCAGTCAGTGGCAGGACTTTCCACTGCCCCCTAAGCCAGACAAAGATGTGCACTCCAGGACCTACTTTTATACAGTTACAGGACAGATTACTCATCCCTACTGACGTATTGAAGTACAGCCCCTTGGCTCATTAGGGTGCTGTCTCCTCCTTTGATCATGTTGTTTCAAACATATCTATCCATCATGCTGTCCTTTTGACCCTGTCTTTAAGATGCACCTGCCTGTTCCTTGTTATCTCTGTGGAGTGTTCTGATGCCATCTTGGCACAAGTTCCTCTTATTAGCACTTATGTGTGGATGCACCTGCTTCTAGCAGCCCTCTTCTTGCCAGCTTCTGTGAGTGGGGCCTGCCTCTGGCTCACAGCCCAGCTTTTGCTTAGCAATGCCTGGAAGTACTTTGGTTCAGGCTTCAGGCCTCAGACTGGGCCTTTGATACAAGAGTTTATGTTTCAGGGCCTCATCTTACTACATGTACAACATCCTTGAAAGCCAAGGCTGAGAACAACATCACAGTATCAGAAAATCAGTGCAGTCCAAAGTGAAAATAGTTGCTCTCAGAAGCACTCAGTGGCAATGCTTCCAGGAATGAGACAGTACATAGCACACATCAGGTTGCAAGTAACCTAGGTAAGACTTAGGCTCTGTCTGGATTTGAGAGGACCAAATCCAACCCAAAGCCTGCTTGACCCCTCTCTAGTTACAATACAATACTATGATTGTGAGATAATTTCCAGAAAAAAAACCTTTTCGGAAACTGGGTCTCTTTAGAAAAATGGAGAGGTCACTTCTGTCAGAATAGTACCAAGGACACAATCAATAGCATTAGAGGCATAGAGCTAAATACCTGTCCTTAAGTGTGCAAGATGCACAGAGCCAGATTGAAAAGAATAAAATTCTCCCTGGATTTGTGTGGGAGCTAAAATGGAAGACAATTCAGGTAGGAAACAAGAATGAAGCTGGACATAACAGAACACCTCTACCTCGGCCTTTTAAGCCCAAGAGGCTCCAAAGGGTCCTTACTATCATACTCCATACCTATATGGTGAAACTTTTGCCTTGTTTGGGATTTGAAGCTCCCTCTCCATTTCGTCTCTGCTGGAGCTCAGTTTACCAGTCAGGAGGTCTATGCGGTTTACTCTGAACAGTAGCTCCTTTACGAAGGACAGATCTTCTTCTTCTATCAGTCCCTTGTTCTGGAGCTTTTGGAAGAAATCCTTGGGATCTTGAATGTCTTCCTGATTCTTCAGTGGGATGTACTCCAGACTCAGAAACTTCAGGGCCATCAGGGTGTCCGAGTCCAGTTCCTCGCTGATGAAGAAGAGAAGCTTGTATATATCTGCACTCATTTTACGGCTGAAAGATGAGGAATCAGATCTAAACACAAAGTGAGATGATGATGGAATGATGTGATTGATGGGCGAGGTCAACACAATTACAAAGGAGTCACGTCACGTGGAATGCACCATAATAAATGGATACATGCTACAAAATACACATCTGATGTCCCCCTGTCATAGTTTTGATGTTAGTTCTCTTTGGTCCCCTTTCAATTCATCAGCTTTAGGAATCTGCACTTGGGAACAGAAGCAAAGGTAAGAGAAAATGTCACGGAAACAAGCTCCTCCTGCTTTCCCTGGGAGGATGTTTGGGGTTTTCTAGCCGCAGAATCAATCCAGCTGCATGCAAGTGCTTCCTTTTTTCTTTCCTAGATCCTGCCTGTTGTTCTTTTGAAAGTCAGCATTATTCTTTTTCTAAAGATTCAGTGCTACCCAGAAGCAAGATCCATATATCTGACACCCGTTTCCCCTACATCTAAAATCAACGAAGTGTCTGAGCAATAAATGAGACCCATGGACACTACTCCATCACAGATGTAAAAAGAACAGGTGTACTTGTGGCACCTTAGAGACTAACAAATTTATTTGAGCATAAGCTTTTGTGGGCTACAACCCACTTCTTTAGATGCATAGAACGGAACATATAGTAAGGAGATATATATACATACAGAACAGGAAAAGGTGGACCATGTTCATGTTCTGTATGTATATATCTCTCCTTACTATATGTTCCATTCTGTGCATCTGAAGAAGTGGGCTGTAGCCCACAAAAGCTTATGCTCAAATAAATTTGTTAGTCTCTAAGGTGCCACAAGTACACCTGTTCTTTTTGTGGATACAGACTAACACGGCTGCTACTCTGAAACCTGTCATCACAGATGTGTGTCGCAACTGTAGTAAAAGCTTCCCTAAGCTACTACTGCTTCTATAAACATTTTTTTTCTGGCCGCTGCAGGTCCCTGCAACCAGGCCACTCCAATTTAGACAGGAAAGATAATTAACTTTATACTTGTTGTCTCCAGCACTTGCAAACTACAGCTCACTTACAAGCTAAGCTATTTACTATCACACTGCACATTTGTAAGATACAGATCAGCTAAAGAGCATACTGATCATTTCCAAAGCTCAAGTAGGGGCTAGAGCCACACGTTTCCCATTTCGCTGTGCACCCAAAGCCCCCAGTGACCTTTGAATTCTCAGTCCTGGATTACAGTTAGGGCAGGACACCAGTACAGTAGAACCTCAGAATTACGAACTGACCAGTCAACCACATACTTCATTTGGAACTGGAAGTACGCAATCAGGCAGCGGGCGGGGGAGGCAAATACAGTTCAGTACTGTGTTAAATGTAAACTACGAAAAAAAATAAAGGGAAAGCAGCATTTTTCTTCTGCATAGTAAAGTTTCAAAGCTGTATTAAGTCAATGTTCAGTTGTAAACATTTGAAAAAACAACCATAATGTTTTGTTCAGAATTAGGAACATTTCAGAGTTATAAACCACCTCCATTCCTGAGCTGTTCATAACTCTGAGGTTCTACTGTACTGAATTTAGAACAGGCCTCTGAATTTGAGAATATGGAGCATGAGGCTCCAAAAATTCTCAGCCCATAGTGTGGGAACAGCAGGGCTAGTCTGTCTGCCTCATTGCAGAGAGTGCCAGTCAGTGCTCTGCTCCCTCTGTGACAGCAAAGGCAGAAGGGCCATCCAGGGGTCTCGGAAGAGGGTGAGGGTTTGGGAGGAAGAATCTATGGGGTGGCTGAAGTTCTTTGAGTGGGCCCTGTGGGGGACCCCCTCTTAGCATGCCTGGAAGGTCTCTCTCCTCCTCTCTTTTTCATTTGGGCACCATTCTGAGACTGAAATTGCGAGAGAACATTTAGTATGGCAACCCTTTGCAAGAGCAAGCCAGTCTCCCACTGTCAGATGAGTCAGTAATCTATGTGTATGGTGGCAGTGTCCAAACCCCCCCATGAGGTCAGGCTCGCCCCTTGCAGTTGGTCTCTTCGAACACAGGGCAGCTTTGTGTAGACCAGGGTTTGTGATTCTGAGGTAAAGAGTTGACTGGTTGCCAAATAAACTTGAGTTAATTAATATAATTGTAAATGCTAATCCAGACACTCTGCAATAATTTGTGCCATGACACAAACATTTGTGGCTGACTTGAGGACCCATTTTAAGGTAGACTGCAAAGGTTTGAGGAGTGTATGGATTAGCATTCACAATCGTGTATGTTCACTTGAGTTAATTGGCAATCATTTAACTGGTTACTATACAGTAGGACCTTAAACTCTTGTCTAGAAAAACCCAGTAAAACTCACTCCCTGTTCTACAGAGCACACTATCTAAAGCTCTGTTCCCCGATGCTCATTTCTCTTTTAAATGTATGCAAAATTAGTTTAGAAACAGATGAGAATCTGCACCTCTGGGCCATATGAAAACTAATGAGAACAGGCACATGAGTCATTCAGACAGGAGTTGGTGCTTTCAGCTGCTTGATCTTATTTGCTACTTCTCTGAAAAAAAAAGAGAATACCCACTTGATAGCTAATTGTCAATATAGGGTTGGGGGAACAGGTCTCATCTGACACCCGTGCATACCCCTAGATTAAGGTATAAGCAATTTATAGCCATCAAAACGATCTTTACTGTAAAGGGAATTACATTAATTTCACTTTCACTTTCAAACTTTCTATAAACTTTGACTGCTATCGTTTATATATGTATACAGAATAGACAGTATATCTGCAGGTGTGTATGCCTGCCTGTGCGGATAGTGTACTAAAAATTCTAACTCCATTGTCTTCTGGCATTAGATTATAATCCAAAACAGGAAAAGAGAAAAACTAGAAAGAGATATTGGTCTAGCAAAACTCGGTTGCCTTCAAACATAAAATGATATTGAAGGTAAGGATGTTGGTTTCACTTACTGTTGGGGTCAGGCAGATCAGTGGTGAAATCCCTCTGGATTTTGTTCCTAGCAAAACTCGGTTGCCTTCAAACATAAAATGAGATTGAAGTTAAGGATATTGATTTCACTTACTTTTGGGGTCAGGCAGATCAGTGGATGAAATTTCCTAGCAAAACTCAGTTCCCTTCAAACATAAAATGATATTGAACTTAAGGGTGTGGATTTCACTTACTTTTGGAGTCAGTCAGCTCAGTGGATCTTGTTCCTTCTCAGTCCCAACAGGAAGTCATGCAACAGGAAAGGACTGGTCTCGAGACTGAGTGTATTGTCATGTGACTTATAGTAGTAGGTTAAGTTAAATGACAACAGAATGAAAATTGTGATATCAACACAATGACAATTGACAATAGAGCTGTTCACTTCCAGAACGTGTCATCATTACAATTTCAGTTAATCAAATATTGCAGACACGGAAACAGAGCTTGTAAAAATAAAACAAATAACTGGTAAAAAATGGGGGAGTTGGAGCACAGCAGGTAGCATAATCAGGAGACCTCCTAATATGAAGGGAAACTTGAGTTGTTTCCTCTAAATGAAGAATTAAAGGGTCAGGAAAAAAACATGCTTGTTTCAAAAAGCTTTTCCACTTTAAAGTTTGTCTCTGTCCCACTTCCCTGCTTTGCCATTGGATCCTTCAGTCCGGGGTGGGCAATCTTTTTGGCCCAAGGGCCACATCTGGGTATAGAAACTGTATGACGGGCCATGAATGGTCACAAAATTGGGGTTGGGGTGCGGGAGGGAGTGAGGGCTCTGGTTGGGGGTGCGGGCTCCGGGATGGGGCCAGAAATGAGGAGTTCAGGGTGTGGGAGGGGGCTCCAGGCTGGGGCGGGGGAGTGGAGTGCGGGGGAGGGGGATGAGGGCTCCGGCTGGGGGTGCAGGCTCTGGGGTGGGGCTGGGAATGAGGAGTTTGGGGTGCAGGAGTGTTGCCTGACCCAGAACTGGGCCCCGAGATGGCAAACGGGGTTCC